CAAAGACTACCAGAAAGATGTTGCTAGAATTTTATTGATTGTACAAGGGAATTTGATGTGTGAGTCATAACAAATTATGGTTGACATTGAGAAGAATGGAAATTCTAGAACATTTAATTGTGCACATACAAAATGAGTACATACAGATGAAGAAGCTGTTGCTCAAAGCATGGCTTAAAATTAGAAAAGGGGTGTGTCAGGGTTGTATCCTTTCTATATCTATTCCATCTGTATGATTAAGCACATAGTGGGTAGAAAATTCCAAAGCGTGAACTCAACCAACTATCATCAAATGCATTCTGACTCAAAGATACAGTGAAATGTTAGTTTCCCTTTCTTCACAATCCCATCCAATTCCAAAACATTTCAGAGGGATGGATGAATGACTGATAAGGCTGAGGGTTGGGGTGGGAGAGAGTGGATAGAGGCAAGATGGTAAAGATTTGTCTCACATACTTTGTGGATATTGCTGTCAGGAGGGACCAGGCCTTGGAAAAAGGCTTCACGCTAGGAAAAGATGAAGGTCAGAGACAGAGAAAGGTTCTCAGTAAGTTGAAGTGACGGTAACTTTAACAGGATGCTCAAGCATATTGGAGATGAGGAGAATGGTACACTTACAGTAAAGCTCAGATCTGTTGTTTGTAGGTTTGCTACAAGTTGTAGACAATTTGGCAGAACCTAACAACAACAACAAAGTAACAACTCTGGGTAAACAATGTATGCTTAAGTGAAAACCACCACAGTTACTTTTCTTTTTAAAGGCATAACTCAGGATAGGAAGCACTGAAATACAAAATAGACCTTGAAGGGGACTAGTCGAATCTTTTCCAGGATAAAGGAACAGACAAAAAACATGTAATGGGTCATGTGAAGAAAGTTGTTTGGGATAACACGTTCCTTCCTCTTTTTCCCCTTTCCCCCAATTCCAGTCTTATTTGAAAATCAAAACTTTATCCCTGAACTGCAAGTGCCTAGGCCCTGGCTGTGGTGAGAGGCCCCTGAACGTGTGGTGGAAATAACTAAGAGAAGGTCCAGTACCTTTGCCGGGCGCCCACAAGCACAATGCTCAGCTTTTTAGTGCTCCGGACCTAGGCTTTCCTTAAGCACAAAACCAAACTGCGTGTCTATGCCCATCAGGGGGCAGCAACCACCCACCACCGTTCAGAGTTCTGCTTCTCATGGAGAACTGAGCTGACCCTTCCTCAAGGTCCAGGTCTGCCTCTCACCTCCATCTCCAGCCTCACCCTGGGCTCCGCCCCCTCCCATCCTTTCATTGGGAGCTAGCAGTTCTTCAATCAGGAATATTTGTTCATCCAGCCGGCAGGCCACCCGCAGTGTTCTTTATTAAAGAGCAGGAGCCAGGGTGCCGGCCCCATTTCCTCAGGCTGACTTCCAGGAGAAATAAACCGCCAACTGCCCCTCATCCATCACTGAGATGTGGAGAAGGAAGAAGAGAGCAGGCTGATTGCAATCAGCCACTCCCAGGCCCCACCCCTCTGCTATCAGGACCTGGGAGCACACCCTGTCCTTCTGGTTAGTGTTCACTCATAATCACTCACTCATGCTAGCATGATGAATTGTTTCAGTGATGGTGGTTTCAGGGTGTGTCTGTCTATCCCCACCATCCAGCACTCTGTAAGCATCAACTCCATTTTGAGACGCTGAACTGGATAACCTGAGTTGGTCTCTCAGTCCCTCATTGTACTAAGGATTGTTCCAGAAGGGTATGTGCATTCCAGTCCACCTGGATGACTCCAGGGAAACGTGCTTTGGGTACGCATTGAGGCATGAGACAAAAAGGAGGGAGGAGCTGTTCAACCAAAGTATTGGCCTCTTCATGAAGTCACAAGGTTGAGATAATTCCTGCTGAGGAGAATCAGAGCTCAATGCAAAACGAGTGTTGGGGATGGCCAACAGCCCCCCAAACCTCCCCCAAATCACCACCATTGCCAACTCATAGTGACCCCATCGGCCACAGTTGTTGTGTACCATCGTATCAGAGCTGACTCACAGTGAGCTTTCAGAGGCAGCTAATCGCCTGCAAAGAGATTGCCCATCCTTCTCCCACAGAGCAGCTGTCTGGTAGATTCGAACTGTGTGCCTTTGGAACTGCAGTTCAGCTTCTTACCAGTAGGCCCCAGAGCGCTAAGGCTTTAAATCTTTACAGAAGCAAATTGCTACAGCTTTCACCCTGGCGTGGCTGATGAGATTAAAGTGCTGACTAGCGAGTTAGCAGCTAAGCACTCTAACCACGGCACCACCAGGGTCCACATGCATGCTTAACCTGCCTCGTGCAGAGCTTTTGGACAGAGAAAGAAAGCGTGTGAGTGTGTGTGTGTGTGGGGGGGGGGCTAGATACTGACTCAGAGGGCTGTGGGATTTGACCAGGGTTGAGTGTGGAGCACATGCAAGCAAGCAACTGACAAGGGTCAGGATGAGGACAAGAAGACAGAGACACGTTGAGTGTAAGGAGAAGTGGGGGGGGGAGGAACAGGGAGGAGAATAGGGGAAGAAAGAAAGGGAGCTGCTTCTCAGAGCAGCAAGCTCCCCGATACAAAGCCGCACTGAGGCAGCCAGCCACACTACGACACCAGTGAGAAATGCCCGTAATTACGAGGCTGGCAGTTCTCTGGGCTTCAGCCCAGAGTGACGATGCAGCAGGAATTTCTGAGACAAGACAAGCCAGGTGATGAAGAGGACTTCAGCCTGGCTTGTGCCCACCACTCTCCCCTCACTTCTGCACTACCAACCTCACCTTCCCCAAAACGTGACACTCTCTTCTTTCCACAGCCAGGCCCTGGGTGCGCCCCTCAGCCAGAGCATTGCATCTTATCTAGGGAAAAGGAGAGCCTTCATTCTTCCTCTGGTACCTGTGGGCCTGGTATGGCCCAGAACCCACCCCCTCTGACCTCTTCCCAACCTCTGACAGGCTAACTGGACAGAGCTGGAAGAAAACCCACCCGGGCTCCTGTCTCTCGGTGTCATGCTGAATGTGCACGTGCCTGCAGGGCTCCTGTGATGCATGGACACCTGCCAAAAACACGCCAGACTTCCCTCTCCAGCCCTCACCCCCATCTCTGAGCCGAATGCTGAATAATGAACGCCTGGAGCTGCTGGGTCCGCTGCTTTGCAGGCTGGGGTGGGAGCTGGACAGACTTTCTCCAGGGAGGACTTGTGCCTATGGGAGAGGATGCTGCGTGGAGGGGAGTGCTGTTATTGCTGGGTGCTGTGGAATCAGCTCTGCCTTCTAGTGACCCTGTAGAAAGCAAGCTTGCCTCATCCTACACCATCCTCACCACCTCCCCTCTGCTTAAGCCCTTCACTGAAGCCCCTTTGTACATCCGTCAAGTCTTTTTCAATGACCCTCCACCTTTCCAAGTACGATATCCCCAGGCACTGATCCCTCCTGGTAACATGCCCAAAGTGGTAGGGGTAAGGGTACAGAGGGCAATGGCATGTGTCCAAGCTTAAAGAGACTGTTGATGATAAATAAGGTGTTTTCTCTTTTTGAATCTCCAATTGTGGGAAGCTGACTAGAGGAGCTTCTGGGGGCCTTAATTTAACACCCTTTCACGCACGATGTATCAGCATCTCCATTAAGGCTTACCTAGGCTGAGGAAGCTTCGTCTCCCACACTTAGGACATGTTATTAGGAGAGACTATTCCTTGCAAAGGAGTATCATGTTCGGAAAAGTGGAGGGTCAGTAAAAGAAAGATCCTCAACCAGATGGATTGGCAAGGGGACTGCTGCGAAGAGCTCAAGGGTGTCACAGAGGGTGAGGATGGTGCGGGGAAAGACAGGGTTCAGATCTGCTCATAGAGTTGCTATGACTCACCATGGACAACAGCAGTGGGAAAGGCGTGCTGCGGAAAGAGTGAAAGTATTTAGCTGCTATCTGAAAGTTTGGAGGTGGAAGTCCAACTAGACAAACGTCAAGACAAAGATGTGTAGATCTCTTTCCGAAAACCAGCGGTGAAACCCTCAGGGCACAGACTTAGTCTAACACACCTGCGGCACCACGTGTTGGGGGGCAACTTCTCAGTATCGAGTGTGCGCCTGCGCAGAACCGATGCGCCCCCCCCCCCGTGGACTCAGGCACACCCCCTGCGGGCTGCGTTCCACCTGTGCAAATGCCACTTCGCTGGAGCCCCAAGGGCTGCTGCTCCCCAAACCCAACCCATTGTTATCACGTGGATTACAATCCTTAGTGAGCCTACAGCACAGAGGAGGACTTCTCTCCAGAGTTTCCAAGGCTGACCCGGAGCAGCTGATGGGGTCAAACTGCTGACACTTGTCAGGTATCCAAGGAGCTTGTGGCCTAGTGGTAAGAATCTGCGCTGCAATCAGGCTGGGCAGTCTCCTTCCGTGCGATTAACTACCAGAGGGGTCGGTTCTGCTGAGGGTCTGAGGCGGACCACCTACCTAAAACAGCTTCTCACCCCTCCGGCACTGTTGTCTTATCTAAGTCTTTCCAACAAGGGCAGACCTTTTTCCTCTGAAAATATTTTATTGATAAATTAACTCTGAAAGGGCTGGTTCCCCTCCCACCCAGCTGTAAGGTCTCTTAGGCTAGCCTTCTGCCCCTCTGTGAGGAGGGGTCCCGGGAGGGCAGGGAGTCGCACTCACTCACACAGGTGGAGTTAGGTGTGGGGATCGAGGCAGGCTGGGAGGTCTTCTGAAGACAGCCCCTCTCGCTCAGCACCAGAGTGGCCGTGCTGGTCAGAAGTGGAGCACCTTGGACCTTTATTGCTGGTGAATGCCAAGGACAGTGGAACCCCTGACGGCCCAGAATTGCAGCTTCAAGCTTCAGTGCCCAGGTCTCCAGAGGTGGCACTAATCCTCAGTCACCACAGCTGGCTGTAGACACCCCCTCCTCATCCCCAGGGGCCCCGATGGAGAGGAGTAACAGCCAGGTGGGACTGGGGAGGATTACAGTGAGCAGGTCTCGGGCAAGGAGGCGCCAGAAGGGAGCGCAAGGTGGGCAGCGAGGGGCTGCACTTCACAGGTCCACGGTGTCGCTGCCCATGCTCAGCTCATCGATCTGTCGGCAGGCGTCTAGGAACTGCTCCTGCAGCAAAGCCTCTTCCGCCTGCAGCTCAGGAGCAGGCTCCGGGGAGTCGTGGGACGGGGGAGTCAGGGCCTGGTAAGAGCCAGAGGCTGGGAGGCTGGGGCTGCTGGCGGAGGGCCGTGGAGGGCTGAGGACGCAGACCAGAGGACAGCGTGGGGGCCTGTCGGGGCTAGAGCACAGGAGCATGGACGAGCTGTCCCGCGAGAGTCCGTACAAGGAGCCAGACGAAGCACTGCTGCCCGCAGGCCAGGCCCCCGGAGAGGGCGGCTCAGGGGACACGGGGGACCCAGGGGTCTCCTCGGGCCTCCCGCCGGGCGCAGCCCCCGCCTTGGCGCCGAGCGAGACGGTACGGTAGAGGCCAAGCCCGGGCAGCGCCTCCCCGAAGGCAGGGCCCTGGAAGAGGCCGGGTGCCAGCAGGGCCTCGCTGCAAAGCGCCTCCTCGATGCTGCGCCGCAGGTTGATGGGGGACGGCGGCCGGAAATCCACGGTGCAGTCGCTGCAGGGGGAGGAGGCGGGCGAAGACGCCGGGTGGGCGGCCGCGCCCTCGAAGCCCCTGCAGGCGCCGCCCTGGAGGAGGAGGTCCGGGCCTGGGCCCGCCAGTGCGCACAGCTGCAGCAGCTCGGCCTCACCGCGCGCGATGGAGCCGCCCAGGGGCGCCTTGTCCGGGAGCCCCGCGCCCCAGCCCCCGGGCAGCAGCGGGGCCGCGTGGCCCGGGGACAGGCGGAAGAGCTTGGCCCAGCAGCGCGCGGGAACGCGGGGGCTGCAGAGCGCGGGGTAGAGGCCCAACAAGGCCAGAGGCAGCGCGACGCCCACCTCGCTCAGGCGCAGACCCAACTGGAAGGCCCACCAGGGCCAGGGCCCCTCCAGGCCCGGCTGGCCACCGTAGCCAAGGGCGTGTAGCACCTCGTAGCCCTGCAGGGCTCCACTCAGCAGCCCGAAAGTGCCGGCCACCGGCGCCGTGCGCGCCGCACGCCGCCACGACTCCCGCGGGGCGAAAGGACTGCGCGCGTGCCGCAGCGGGGTGGCGCCCTTGAAGCCGGATCCCCCAAGGGGTGCCCCGGCCCGCCGCCGGCGACCCCGCCAGCAGGACAGCGCCAGCAGGAGC